AAGGTGTCCCCAGATGACCCCACCTGTAGGCTCACTCCTGTGCATTTGTCCCCCTTTACTTTTATTGTTGAAGGGAATGTGATAGTGATGACAAGTCTCCAGCAGCCATATCTAGCACCACAGAACAGCATGACAAGGTGGGAAAGCAGAGACAGAAAAACCCTAGTCACGGAGGCCACAGCGCAGCCATGGCAGACCTGGGTGGCCCACTGCAGGATCCTCTGGGCAAACTGGCTTCCGCCACTATCATTTTGTGATTGTGTTATTTTCAATCAAATCTAACTGTGACAGACACAGCAACCAACATTAAAAAAAAAACAAAAAACCAAAAACACTTCTAATGAAATTCATAAAATCTTTCAGAAAGGAGAACAAAATGAAAAAATAAATGGATAACAAGAGAGAGAAAAGAAAAGGAAATTAGAGAATGACATTAAGATACAAAATAGGATAACAGAGGAGGAGTGGCAGAGAAAAGGCATGGATTTGGCGGATAAGCAAGAATAGTAACAAAGACAGAAATAAAACCAAACATGACAAATGACAGATTGAGCAAGGTTGTGTGTGTACCACACTGCCCTGGGGTGGGGTAGCTGATTCACATATTATTTGTGTAACCTTCACACTGGGGAACAGGGAAGCTTAGGTAATGAAACACAAAATAAAACTGGTGATGTAAGCAAGCTAGGAAGAAAGAAAAGAAAATACTAATATCAGTATGATGAAGGATAAGGGAAGCGAGCCCAAGAGATATAAAATTCTTCCTGGGCAACCAGAGACATTAAGAGATTGATATTAGTGAATCAACAGAGCAAAGATGATGATATACCATGAACTGGGCTATATGATCCCAACCTCCTGAACCGGCTGAGCTCTCCAAAAATGACAATATACCAGGACTGAAGGACACAAAAAGCTCTGGAATAAAAGGACCAACTCAACAGTCAACATAACGGCTGCCAAAAGCATGAATTCTACAGGCCTGTAGGGAGGAACAGAAGGAACATGGCGGCATTCAAAGTCTGCAGGGACCAGGAGCCGGCACAACGAATTTCTCTGCAGTAAAAAGTGAGCTCACATAAAACTGCTTCCAAAAATCACAGAGAAATTGATTTTCAACTGGAGAGTCTATATTCACTCAAATTACAAGTCAAGTGTGAGGCTAGAAACCTTCATACCTAAGCACTCAGAAAATGGACTTCTTATTTGTCCTTCCTTGAGAAGATGCTGGAGTGTGCACTTCAGCAAAACAGTGCAGTAAAAAATGAACCAAGGAGGAGGAACACTCGGTCAGAATCTCCCCCGGCTGATTTAAGCAAGAGATTCAGCCACAGAGTTTAGATCCCATAGTTTAGATCCTGTTGGTAGGAAAGAAAAATGATGCAGCTGCTTTGGAAAACAGTGCAGCATTAAAAAAAAACTAAATACAGAATTATCATATGACTCAGCAATTTCACTCCTAATTAAACATTAAAAAACCAAAAACAACAACCCAAAACTGAAAACAGAACCCCAAACAGATATTAAACATCTATGTTCATAGAGGCATTGTTCACAGTAGCCAAAAGGTGGAAGCATATTGCTTCAATGTAGGGATGAAAGGGTAAGCTGAATGTGGTATATTCATATAATAGAACATTACTCTGCCTTTAAAAGGAAAGAGACTTTATACTGGACCTATTAGTGCATGCCTATAACCCAGCACTAAGGGAGGTGGAGGCAGGAGGATTGTGAGTTTGAGCCTATCCTGGGCAACTTAATGATTTAGTGAAACCCTTTCTCAAAATAAATAAAAAGTTTGGGGATATATCTTAGTATGAAGCCAAATAATAACTTAGTGTTTAACTTACATACTAAGTTAAATTCTAGCCCTGGGTTAAATCCCCTGTACTAAAAGAAAAGTCCTCCTCAAAGTCTCCCAGAGGTGAAGCCTTTGGGAGGTGGCTGACTATTAGGGCTTGTTTCTGCTTTTTTTTTTTTTTCCCGGAACCGGGAATTGAACTCAGGCCCTTGCGCTTGTCAGGGAAGCGCTTATTCCACTGAGCCATCTCCCCGGCCCCTAGGGCTTGTTTCTGACTTATTAGGAGGCAGGCTCTGGTCCAGGAGACAGGAGCCTGGGAGTGCAGAAGGGTGCATCTCCCTCCCCAGCTCCTCCCTGTACTCTCTGCTTCCTAGGTGCCACAAGGTGAGCACCTTCTCCTCCGCCATACCCCTCTGCCTCCGCCATACCCCTCTGCTGTGCTGTTTCTTTTCAGGAGCCAGCTAACCACAGACTGAAACATGAGCCAAGAAGACACCTTACTCCTTTTAGTTGCAGGTGTTGCATATTGTCTCAGTGAAGAAAAAAGTGACTAAAATACTTAGAGTAGTGAAAAGCATAGAGACAGAAAGTAAAACGATAGTTGGCAGAGGTCGGCGAGTAGGGAGTTATTTAATGGATACAGAGTTTCAGTTTTAATGGATGGAGTTAGGGAAATGGATAATGGTGATGGTTGTACAACATTATAAATATATTTAACAACACTACGTTGTACTCTGAAGATGGCTAAGAGGGTAAAATATATGTTGAGTGTTTTTACTACAATGTAATAAAAGATATTGGGCCTCTGAGAATAGCTGGAAAGGCTAGGACATCAGGTCTCTATCACCAGGGCAACACTGAAATTTTATGTCACCTAGGCTGTTGGGGACCACACTGCAATTACCACTGATTCAGAAGTTTTGACTCTGGGAGCAGTGATATAGTTGTCCTACATCAGGTGTCCAGAAAGCTCTTCAAAGACCTCACATTTCCTGCTCCTACTTCCAAGCCTAAAGAGGGCTCAGCCAGTCAGCAGAGCCTTGCTCTTGCGGCTGGACTCTGGCAACAGGAGAGGCCAGGAAACCAATCAGATGACATTTTCAGCTTTGAGTGTGAAAGGTTACTTTGCCACCCACCAAGATTCACAACACTGGAAATGCCTTCAGAACAGAAAGTTCAGTCAATCAGGGGCCAGTAGTGACAACAATAAAAGGCAAAAGTCTAGTATGCTATTGTATCGAAGAAGGTTCTTGTCCTGGGATGCAACCCAGAAGTGTGGTAAAGAGAGAAATTCTAAGACAACCACTTGGCAGCAGGTCTCCAGGACAGATCAGAGTCCCATAGGACACATGGAAATAAAAGAAATGGCTGTCATAGATTTCTGAAGAATTGGAGTATTTGGAAATAACACGGAGAGGCACTGGACATATCTCCAGTGTATTTAAAGAAAAATGACAATGGAAAGTGGGAAAACCAAGCAAAGAAAACCATGGCAATTACTAATTCCCAGAAATAGAAAAGTTGGGGAGAAAAGCAAATGTGATCATAGTGTAACATGTAGCTCAGAAATAAGCCATACTAAGTCACAGTAATATGAATATCAATTCTAGGTTTAACTAAAAGGTTGCGGTGTGACTATACTGGGGACATTACATGAAATGTCACAGTGGCATAAAAGAATTCTCACCTTATATCCTCACTATGATCACAGGAAGTCAAAAGATAATGACAGAAACTCATATATCAAAGAGTAGCAATACATATATATTATTTAGTAATGAAAAGTTTAACAGACAAGGCAACTTTCTGATTGAGGTCCAAGCTTTTTGATCTGGGACTGAAGCTGGGGGTATTCAAGGATGAAAGAGTAGAAACTAATATGTCTGATAATTTTACTTTTAGTATCACTTGGCTTATTATACTATATATCTATTACTTTGATAAAAACAAATTTTAACATTGTTTCTACCATTAAAAACTTCCCACCAACCTAGAAGTAAAGAAAGCAATGCAGGTTTATGGAGTAGATAAGGCATCTGTGTTTGGACATCTCCTTTTATGTCCTTCATCTCGTCCTCTTTTCGCACACCTGTCTGTACAGATCTTAAGAGAAGGTACAAAGTAGAGGCAAATATATGGGACTCAAATGTAGGGATGACACTGAGCCATGAAAACAATCCGCTGAGGCTTCTCTGTGATCTTAACAGGCTTCTTCACTTGTAAAATGCAAAATGTTGGTATCCAGTATACTACTACATGAAGTAACAGAGTGTGGGCTTTGTGTCCCTATGGTAAGCACTTTAGATGAGCAACTTATAAAGACAGATGCTTTACTTATGCTCTCAGCTTCCAAGGTTCCAGACCACTACTGGTTGGCCCCATTGCTTTGTGCCTGTGGGTAGGCCAGAGCACACGATAGAGCAAAACCCACTTTTATCATGAACCAAGGAGGAAAAGAGAACAAAGCCCCCTCCAAGAGCAAGTCTCCAATGACCTAAAGACCTCCCATTAGGCCTCTTTCTTTAGGAAACCTAAAGAAAGGATCCTAGTGATGCCACACTGAGAAGCAAGCCTATCTCACAGGGAGCTCTTGAGGACATTCCAGATGGAAGTTATAACAAGACCTAAAGCACCTAGGATTCGGTAGGTCCCCAAAAATGATGAGTTCTCTTTTTCTCTTGGGATCTCTCATATTCTATAAGCCTCTCCTCTAAGCCACTCCCTGAAAGTCTTTCTGTATCTCTGTGCTTGTAGCTTTGAACATAGCAAAGAAAAGTTGTGCTTCTTCAGCTACCTTCTCCCTATCCTGTTTTGCTTGGTTTGGAAGATTCACTTTCTACAAATTACACTGAGTCCTTCCCAGGCAGTTTAGCTCAACACATTACCACTCCTCTTGGAAGGAAAAATTGGTCTTATTCACCTCAGCTGATTTTTGAGTGAAAGAAATTGATATTCAATTACTAGCTCTGGCCCCCCGCTCTTACATACAGGAGTAGATGGAAATTTCTGTTTAAAAACTGACTACAGTATCTACAACATAGTCAAATTCTCAATAATTCAGCAAACATACAAATAATAACATTTTAGAATAAAGATTTAAGTTACCATGGATTATGAAATCGGGTTGAGACAACTAAGTGGGTGAGGTCATCAGTGATTTCTGTCATAGGAGGCCTCCGTGTGACTCTGAAGTACTCACCTTCTCCACTCACTCTCCAGTGGCCACACAGCTCAGGGAGAAGTTGTTCTCTATGTGGTCCCTCAGGCCAAGTCTCCTCACTCTTGGAGGTCCCCTTGTCCTGGCAGGACTCCTCCCCCTCCCAGGAGGCAGTCATGTCAGGCCCCTCAGGAGGAAAGGAATTAGGGGAGTTGAGGTCCAAGCAGAAGCTATCTTGTAGGGTTTGCTTGGTGGCCTTCTTGCACTTTCTCTTCTGATTCTCTGAGATTCTATGGCCTTTTCCTGGTCCTGGGTAGCCACTGTCAAGCCTGGTTATCTGGAGGAGCTTATCCATGTCCCTGGTGAACTCCAGCAGAGTGCCCTCTGAGAAGCTTTGGGAAGAGCCCTCAGAACCATAGCTGGGAGCCTTATCCAAGAGCAAATGCTCTGAGCAGTGGACGGCTTCCAAGTCCTCCCTCAGCACTGGCTCAGACACCTGAGGGACAGTGCAGGGGACCATGGACAAGGAGAAGTAGGAGTAGTCCACTGCAACATAGGTCAGCATGAAGTTGATGGTGACAATGGGTGCCAGGATGTTCACCTGACCTACAAGGACAAAAGCCATGGTCACCAAGCTGGTCAGGCAGATAGCTGTTACAGGTGTTTTATTCGGTCCTTTCTGTAGAAACAAAAATAATATACAGGATTATGAAATTTCAGATGGAATATTTCAGAATTCATATGGTAGAAATCAAACTCATAATGGCTCAGCCACTATTTTCCCAGGATGGTTCATCCATAAACTTGGGAAAATAATGTTCAACTCCTGGGTCATTGTAAGACCATGGCTAATGCATGCGAAGTGCTAACAACACAGGCACACCATAGGGTCCTAACACACAGCTATGGGTTAGTAATTATTAACATGGGGCATTATCAAAGAACTTTCAACCTCACTGATATTTTATCTTCACTAAGGTTTTTTAATACTACCTTTGAAGATTGTAGAGGCCAAGTTGATTTTTTCCCTTGGAATGGCAGATTGTGGAAGACACAGCAGAATCACAGGTGGCTGAAGTTGGAAAATTCTGATAGTGACCACGCACAGATATTCAGCTCACATGTACACACTTACACACTCTTGGTGTTAGTGGAGGAGGGCATGGTGACCTCCAAGTGGACAGGAGTGGGAAAAATGTGCTAGTGCCACCCCTAGAAACTATCATCACAGCCACCAGAACACTTCTTGGGCCAAAAGGAACATCCAGCTCTCAGTCCTCCTCCTTGAAAGACTGCACCTGGCTTGTGGTCTGCCTCCCGCCCCACAGACTGCTCCTAATCAGTGCCTGTTGTTTCTTCCTTTGTATCTTCTGAACACTACATTGCAAGTAGCCTGGGCTCCCTGTTCAGCCCTCTCCTCCTCTCTTTCTACTCCTACGTGGTGTCATGCAGCCTTGTGGCTTTCAATGTCAGCTTCATGCTGACAACACCCAAATTTAAGCCTCTAGCTGAAAACACTGCTCAGAAATCCAGGTTTGATATCCAACTGAATGTCTCTTCACCAAAAGATGCCAAAAAGAAAAGCAAGCCCAAGACCAGGAAAGGATATCTGCAACACATAACTGACAAAGGTATCTAGAATATATAAAAATTTCAATAAAAACTTGAAAAGGCCTCTAAACAAAATAAGTAAAAGATTTGAATTGAAATTGAACTACTCTTGTGAGAATCACTGAGGGCTCTCAGAGGAAAAGGGACGATGCCACTGGAATCACCTTCCTCTTCAGTGCCACTGTCCTTCCCTTCTCTGTTACCCTCAGTACCAGACACTATTACCAGTTCTTCCCTTCCTCCAATGTCTTACATCACTTCCCAGGAGATGAAGTGCATTCTTCATTGGTTTGCCAGTTGGTCCTCGGGGAGAACATTTTCTACAGGACTTGGTAGCTAAGGCAGTGCCAGGAAAATTACAGCCACTCCTGGATAGTCTGGAGCAGCTTAGTGTATCTGGAACAAACCGACCACCTCGTATCTTTGAGTGCCAGTTACGTCTTTGGGATCAGTGGTTTCGAGGTTGGGCTGATCAGGAGCGTAATGAGTTTGTCAGACAGCTGGAGGTCAGTGACCCAGACTTCGTGGCAAAATTTTACCACGCAGTGGCTGCTACATCTGGTAATGACTGACAGGCGGCTGGAGGTTCAGCTCAGCAGCACAGTGTGCGTGGTCACTATCAGAATTTTCCAACTTCAGCCACCTGTGATTCTGCTGTGTCTTCCACAATCTGCCATTCCAAGGGAAAAAATCAAGTTGGCCTCTACAATCTTCAGGGGTAGTATTAAAAAACCTTAGTGAAGATAAAATATCAGTGAGGTTGAAAGTTCTTTGATAATGCCCCATATTAATAATTACTAACCCATAGCTGTGTGTTAGGCTCCAAAGCCTAAAACTTTTGAGAGCTGAGATGACACCATGGTGTGCAAAATCTCACATAATGAAACTTTGTTTCATGCATGAAATTACAAAAAATACTTTGTAAAATAACCTTCAGACCATATGTATAACAAGGTATGTATAAAAATAAACAAATTTTGGGTTTAGTCCTGGCTTCCATCCCCAAATTTACTATGCATATTTTAAACTTTTTTTTTTTTTTAAATTTAGGGAAGGGTCTACAGGGTGTTCAGGGTCTCACTACTAAAACAGACTTGTAGTGATCCGCCTTTTTACAGCCTCCCAAGAGCTAGGATTACAGGCATGTGCCACCATGTCAGTCTCAAACACTGTCTCAGTGCACCCTGGAGGCAGGACCAGCAGGGCAGGCCTGGGGATCAAACCCTGGCCCCTGTACCTGCTTGTAGGTGTTTTAATTTACTGAGCTATTTGACCAGCCCTAACTTTTTCAAATTAAAAATATAAGCAAATCCAAAAGAATTCTGATCCCAGGTGTTTAGATAAGACATGCTCAGTGTATAATTAAAGCTCAGAAAGAAGAAACATTTTGTGTAAAGATGCACACTTAGGAAGTGAGTTGCAAACTACGGTCCTTGGGCCTAAACCATCACTGCCTAGTTAGGTGAGCCATGAGCCAGACATGACCTTACCTGTTCAAACACTGGGGGGGGGGTGTGGGGGGAACGGGAGAAGAGTAATATTTTGTAGCATTGAGAATTACTTAAAGTTCTAATGTGCATCCATACATGAAGTGTCAGGTATTGTCTGAGGCTCCTTTGGAGCTATAAGTAGTGCTAAGCAGTGGGGATTAAGACCACACTGCTGCAGCACCTAACAATGGACAATCAGACACACTACAGAAAAGTCAGCTGATTCCTGAAAACACCATAAAAAAAATCAAGGATGCCAGGCATGATGGCACATACTTGTGAGCCTGGCACTCAGGGACGCTGAGGCAGGAGGATTGCAAGTTTGAACCTAACACAGGAAACTTACTGACTTAGCGAGACTGAATCAAAATAAAAACAAAAAAAGGTCAGGGATATAGCTCAGTGTGAAGACCCTGGCTGGGTCTAATCCCCAGTAGTAAAAAAAAAAAAAAAAAAAAGTGAGGAAATTAT